TTTGGATAGGCTCGTGATTGTAATCAATGCAGTAATTCAGTGCCCACAAAATGTAAAGTTATTTAATTTAAATATTTTGGGTCAATAACAATTTGTAGCAAGGAAGTAAAGGCATGTTGTGGTAGATGGTCATTGTGTTGAAGGTGGTGATCATCTCGGAAGGAGATTCCTAAGTTAGATCTCCACATTGGGGATTTGATCAAGATGACATTGATGATGTCTACAGAGGCCCATTTCATTGTGACCATGATTAAGAGGGGAATGTTATTTCAGCACATTCCAATAAGGCAAAAGGCCATCTTGCTAGTATAAGAGGAATTAATGTGCCAACACAATGTAATAAGCTAGAAATTAATAACACCTCACAAGACATCGGATATGTTCCGAACCACCACTACAAGAAAACTGGCATTCTACGTCTAGCAAAATTAGACGCAGAAAGTCACATTTAGACACTAAGCCATTTTTCGCGTCTAAATTTGGTAGTCACCCCTTAGTTGCAGTATCGCTGTTGTTGATTCTTTGCGTGTCTAAATTTTTGTTTAGATGCGGAAAGTTTTTTTTTTTTTTTTTTGCGACTAGCAAAATAGTCTCTAAATGCTGGTCAAAATAGTCCCCCAACTTAGATGCTAAAAGTTCAAGGGTAATTTGGTAAAATTGTATAGCGACTAATCAATTAGTTGCAAAATGTACCTTTTAGTGTCAAATGATTTGTCGCGAATCCCACAAAAATTAGACGCCAAAGGTGTAAGGGTAATTTCGTAAAAGGTTTTCGTAACTATTTTATTAGTCGACGAATGTATCTTTTAGTGACCAAAATTTAGTGGTTAATTGTAATACTTTTAGACGCTGAATGTAGAATCCAAACGGTTTTCACGACTATTTTATTAGTAACCGAATGTATCTTTTGGTGACCAAAATTTAGTAGTTAATTATAGTCATTTTAGACGCTAAATGTGGAATCCAATAGGTTTTTGTGACTATTTTATTAGTGGCCGAATGTATCTTTTGGTGGCCAAAATTTAGTGGTTAATTATAGTCATTTTAGATGCTAAATGTGGAATCCATTAAGTTTTCGCGACTATTTTATTAGTGGACGAATGTATCGTTTGGTGACTAAAATTTAGTGGTTAATTGTAATCATTTTAGATGATAAATGTGAAATCCAAAAGGTTTTCGCGACTACTTTTTAGACGCTGAATGTGGAAGCAAGTATACTAAATTACTTTTTGCTACTAAAACATTAGTTGCAAAATGTGTTTTTTTAGAGCATTTCATATTGACCTTCAGGGGAATGCAATAATGCTAAATTACTTTTTGCTACTAAAAAATTAGTTGTAGAATGTTATTTTTTTTAGAGCATTTCGTATTGACCTACATTATACATTCAACATCAACAAAATAATGGACACAATATAAAAATCTGATCACTAAATCAAATATCATATTTTCATACATATATATATAGTCCATACATGGATTTTTATGCATGATGAGCAATAAAAATCCAAAATGCACTATCACATGTGCAAAACCCAAAAGAACAGCATGTACCCACATTTTCCCCACTACCTATCTATCTGTGCATAACTAACAAAAAAATGCCCACCCCATGTACACCATCTGACACATATATGCAAACAATCCTAAAAAGATGGTTCTACCCCCATGTCAAAATATCTACTGCCCATACAACAAAAAAATAACCATCAATACCGTTAGCATGTCAAGTGTCACCAGTTGCGGTATTTGAAATAGCTATAGCTGATGAGGATGAGTCTTCATCAGTTGGAGATGGCAATGGCTGTCGAGTTAGAGCTTAATCAGATTGCTGTAGTTCAAGGGCTATAGTTAGTTGCTTCATCATCTCCAACATGACAAATTGTTGGTGTTCAAGGCTTTTTATTTTCTCTTTTTGTTGATCAAATAAGATGAGCTACTCTTCCAACTGTTTAATCTTATTTTCTTGTTGTTGCACAATACACCTTAACTCTACTTCTACTGCAGTGGATTGATGCTCAATCTGTGAAAATGCAAAATTCTGGTTAAATCTGGAAGCTTTACCCAGAACTTCCTCACATATTTCAGTTTCTGTTTTTTCACTTTCCCCTGCTTGTGTTTCATCTTGCAGCTCTATCATTTTTTCCTACCATCAATTGAATGCATAATCAATAAGTCAACCAACAAACTAAATAGCAACATAAAAGAATACTGCAGCACCAAACAAAAATAAATTTGATGGAGTAGAGAAGCAAGTATCTCAAACATTATCAATCTAATGCTAAAAGGAAAATTTTGACATAAAGTTTTTCTTATACACATATAAGCAACAGATTTACATTCACATATCCATGCATAAACATGCTAAGTAATTGGAAAGATAAGGGCTGTTGCATTTTCTAAATATCATAAAAGTGATGTGGCAAGGGTGCTATGCTGATACGGAATGGAAGTTGATTAGTTCAGTATTACTCATCAAGAAGTATAAATCTGTACATATGCATTTCCCATTTTCAAAGTGTTTTAATTCTCCAAGAGACAAAACAAAGCCATGGTTCTCTGCCATTGCTACAAGAGCTCCCAAGGACATACACGACCACACTGTAAAAACTCCACTAACATACATGATCTTCAGCAATCATGAAGCTGAATATTTCGAAAATAACAAAATTCATTTCACAAGATGATGTGCACAATTTTAAATCATTCTGATTTAGGTGATTTCAATCAAGCTTAATCTCAATTCCATGGAGGAAGACTTCACACACACACACACACACACACAAAAAAAATATAGAAAAAAAAAAAAATCTAATCTCATCCGTCCAAGTTCAGCGATACGACATTCAGATTATATATTCAGACAATAATAATATCTACATCATAAAATCCAAACTGTTAAGTTCAATCCAAATAGATTATAAACCATGAAACAGGTTTTTCCTACTAGAAGAAAATCCAACTTTCTGCTTTAAAAAATACAATCTGTTAAGTTCAATCAAGAGAAACAATATAACACAAGTTAAATTTCAGCATTATCCTGCAATGTTTGTAACATATCAATAGCAAACCACAACAAAGTTATAAAAGTTTGGTAACACTCAAGAAAACTAAATGCCAATATCAAACAAATGCACAAGCAACAACATAATTACAGGTGATCAAAAGATGATAGAGAAATGCAATGAGACTCAAATTAAAACAATAAAAGCATGTCAGTATGGAACAGTTACGAACAAACAATACATTTATACCAAATTGAATCGTAAGACATTTCATATATCAATAATTGAAAGATGATCAACTTACATATAGCTCTCTTGCTTGTTCATTAATCCACCCTTTCTCCGCACTCCAACAAGTGTCATGAAATAATTGTATAGGACTGACAGATTCCCCAAGTTGTTGCACCTTAATAGTTCATATCATCATTGACCATAAATTGAAATAAATTTAGTAAACAAGACAACAAAGTTGTATATTTGTATAGGTGAATCATATTAAATACCTTTTCCTTTTTGTGCTAGATAAAGTTTTTGGAACCACCGCGATGGTTACACCTCATCTTCAACCAGTTCTCAGAATAAGTTTTTGACCGTGCCTAACACCACAAAATCAGGAAATTAAAATACAATACATATATAATAACATTAAAAGCCATGTTGACCTTACCTGAAACTTTTCACTAGAAAAAAGGTCACAAAGATATATCCAATCATCGGGATCTTTAACTTCTTCTGGTCTATTCTGTAATGCTTCCTCCTTAGTAGCATATGCTTTGAATTTCTTGTGTAGGGCACTCTGGAAGCTGTTGAATCTCTTACACAATTTGTGCTTCAGCCATTTCAGTACTTAGGGCTCCGTGACATCAATGTCAAACTTGTCTAAATTCATCAATAATGTACATGCATTAAACTTATATGGGTATTATATATTATTTTCATAAGGAAGTATGACAGTATGGATAATGATATTAAACTACATTACCGTGATACGAGCAATCATTTGTTTTTCGACATTGTAGGAAACTTTCTTCCAAGTAAGCACTCTTACGGGGGCATAGTTCCTCGCAACTATTCCTACCTCAGTACTCAACTTTGATGCATTTACTCTAGTAGATACTCCATCTTATTTTTAAAAGTCTACATGCAACTTTGACTGCGCTGTTTGTAGGTGTCTTTCACATCTAACTCCTCTACTCTTCCCTCTCACGTTCTTTGCCACAATATTCTCTACAAAATCAAAATAATGCATCAGCAGTAAATACTATGTTATCACAAAGACGGTTTACATGTTGGTAAAGTAAAATGTATTCTTAAATTTTAAACAAACATTGTACTTGATATCTAAAATCCAAGTATATATTTCAGTATTCTTATATGGACCAATATCATAACTTTACTAGTGATTGTAGCAATTTCAAGTGTCAGTACAAGACTATGATTCTGTGGAACAACATTTGTACGTCTAGCTAGGGTCCTTCTTGTACCAAGAGCCATCTTCGGAATCTGCAAACATCAACATAAGAGAAAACGTACCAGGTAAGATATAAGTCACTTTATACAATTAATCTCACGAAATTAGATATTAACTAAATTTACACATTAGAAAATAGTAAAGAGTACAAGAAAATAGTAAAGAGTACATATAATCATACAAGCATACCATCAGAAGTTGTTATCAGAATCACTCATTAAATCATTTTCATTATCAGTACAATAATCAATCAACGTATCATCTTTTTCTTCAACATCAACATTGGCATCATCTCCCACTACTTCAGCTCCAACATGTGTAATTGTTGCATCAACCAAGTCAGGATCAACATCATGTCTAATGAAATGTCCCCTGTCAAACTCATCTTCTTGTATAGGAACAATATCCTCCTCTTCTTCATTTGTGTTATCCATCTCTTGTACATCCCCTAGGTTTCTATGTTGAGCTTTTCGAACCACTTTCCAATTAGTCCCAAGGTTGTAATCATCAACATAGAATACTTGTTAAGCTTGAATGGCAAGTATAAAAGGATCATTTTCATACCACAATTTTCCAACATTAATACAAGTGAGATGATAATCTTTTTGTATCCTCTTCTTTTTTGCATCAGTGTCAAACCAGTTACACTTGAATAACATAACTCGAAACCCATTAACATAATTTAGCTCTAACACACCACTTAATTCACCATAAAAATCAATTGGATCACCATCATGCTCCACTGGCACCATCACTCCACAATTTTGTGTAACTCGATAATGTGATTGATCATTGTTATGGAAACACACTCCATTGACAATACAATTGTTATAAAATTTAACACGAAAATCAGGACCACAAGATAAGAAGTACAGTTCCTTAGTTGTATCATTGCACTTGTCAACATGCAAGGTGTTCATCTACACAAAAGCATCAATTCCAAATCATTAAGCATAACCTAAAACATCTTAAACCTTGTTTTATATGTTTTATAAATGATTAAGGTATACTTACACGATCTGCAAACCATTTAGGAAATAACTGTTCTTGTGTTTTGAATATGTTATCACAATTTAGGGCCTCCAACTCTTTTAAGTGTTCTCTGTGTGTTACATAAAGAAAAGAGACAGGACTATGTTATAAGGCTGAACTTACATACAATTTAAAACATTTGTTTGTCAACAGGTTTCAACTAAACTTAAAAAGGGACTCACTCTAGAAAAGGTTGCAGTTCTTCACAATTGTTCAAGATGTACCAATGAGCCTTTTGCAATTCATCTGGTGAAAGTTCGATTAACTTCCTTTAACCCCATGGACGAGCCTTTTGACAAAAAACTAATAATACTCCTTCTAGGTGTCCATGCAAACTGTCATCATTTCTCTCTAACAAAATGTTAATGCTTCATTCACCAAATAACCCTCCGCAATAGAGCCCTCCAATCTAGCTTTGTTTCTAACATATTTTTTCAATTTTCCCAAAAACCTTTCAATTGGATACATCCACTGATATCCAACTGGACCACCCAATTTAGCTTCCAATAGAAGGTGTACAGCCAATTGAACCATAATATCAAAAAATATAGGAGGGAAAACCATTTCAAGCTTACAAAGAATTAGGACTATATCTTGTTCCAATCTATTTAGACCATTTACAGACAACGTCCTAGCACATAGTTGTTGGAAGAAGCAGGACAACTCAACAAGTGCAGCACAAACGTCTTGATGCAAAAATGGACGTATTCCTACGAGCAGTAGTTGTTGTAGCTAGACATGACAATCATGACTCTTTAACCCATGAACCTTTTTGTCTTTCACATTGACACATCGGGAGATATTACTTGCATACCCATCTAGAAACTTCACTGATTTCAAGAATTGGCAAAATTGTCTTCTCTCATTTAATGTAAGAGTATAACATGCTTGTGGTTTCAAATATCTATCACCATGAGGTTGCAAATGTAACTCTTTGCGTATGTTCATATCAGCCAAATCCAGTCGAGCTGTATCAGTATCTTTTGATTTCCCTTCGATGTTCAATAATGTGCCAATGATGTTGTCACATATGTTTTTTTCAATGTGCATCACATCAAGGTTATGTCTGATTTTAAGTTTACACCAGTATTCCAATTTGATGCACCAGGACTATGTTTCCTTTTTCTACCTCTATCAACTGATAATATATTTTTCCAGAAATGCACATCGTTCACATGGGATTGTTGTTCATGAATTTCATCCCCTGAATATAGTTTTGATAGAGATCTAATTTCTCGTTTCCCATCGAATTGCTTGCTTCGCCTCCACCGATGATCTGGAGACAAGAATCGCCGATGTCCCATGTAGCATATTTTACTTCTCAACAATTGGGATGAAGTATTCTCATTACATACAATACACACCTTATAGCCTTTGGTTCTCCATCCAGACAAATTACCTAAGGTGGGAAAATCATTAATTGACCAGATGACAGCAGCATGTAAACGAAAACGTTCTCCCCGAGCTATATCATAAGTATGTACACCATCAACCCATAACTCTTTTAATTCTTCAATCAATTGACGCAAATACACATCAATATCTCTTCCAGGTGCTTTAGGCCCTAGAATGAGCAATGACATCATAAAGTAAGGGTCTTTCATACACTTCCATGGAGGCAAATTGTAAGGGACAAGTACCACTGGCCACATGCTATAAGATAGACTCATGTTCCCAAAAGGATTAAAACCATTAGTTGCAATACCCATCCGAACATTTCGAGCATCTTATGCAATGAAAGGTATGTCTTGTCAAATTCCTTCCAAGATTCAAAATCCGCAGGATGCCTCAACATATCTTCTGTAGTTAATCATTTTTCCTTATGCCACATCATATCTTCAGCTGTGTGCCTTGACATAAAGAGTCGTTGGAGTCTAGGTTTCAATGGGAAGTAACGCAGAACCTTATGTGCAATTTTTTTGCCCTTTCCATCATTAATCTTATGTCTAGGTTCATCACATATAGGACATTTATTAGCATTTGCATGCTCCTTCCAAAATAATGCACAATCAAACCTACATGCATTTATTGATTCATAGCCTAAGCCTAATTGTTGCATAATTTTTCTAGCTTCGTAGTAGGATTTGGGAGATTGGATTCTTTAGGCAACACACTTTTTATCAACTATATTATCAAGTCATATGATTTATCAGTCATGTGACTGATGGCTTTTATATGCAACAATTTAACTATGAACTCTAGGATTGAGATGTTGGTGCACCCTGGATACAATTCTTGTTGAGCATATGCAAATATGTCATCAAATTTCTCATAGTCTACACTTCTAAGATTATGGGTTGTACTACCACCTACATTTGATGAATCCCCATCCATATGCATGTTTACTAGACCACGAGCATCACTAAGCATTTCCATGATGTCATCATCATCTTCATATTCATTGTCCACTTCATTGCCAGACATGACGTCAAATATGGTTCCAACATTCATGTGTTCCCCGTGAAAAGTCCATACATCATAACTTCTTGAAAACCCATGTCTATACAAATGTAGCTGAATGGTGTATATATCATGTGATCTTGTATTCAAACAAGTTCTACATGGCCAGTGGGTCTTACCCTCACTATCCAAATGTTGTTTTGCAATGTCTATGAAATAGTCAATTCCTTGAATATATTCATCGCACAACCTATTAGACAACCAAATCCATCTTCTATCCATTGTGACCTTCTAGGTTCACAAACAAAACATAAATTCAGTATCATAAATATGTTCTATCACAAAGACAATACTCAACCCAATTAAACCACATTCATCCATATAAAGAAAATAGTACTGGTGATAATGTAAATGAGTATAAACGATCAATAAATTAATTAAATATCAATTTACGTAACTTATACCTTTTTTTTTATGGTTGTAGTAGCATGGTGCCCGCACTCTTCTTAGCCTTGGTCTTCAAGTCAACTTTAAGATCCTCAAATACCTTTTAAAACAAAAAAAATTAGGTAATAATTTTATAATTTATCAAGAATATGTCATTTTCCTTATATGGAAAGAAATACCACACTCTAAATTAAATGAATCAGCAAGCAATGGCTAAAATTAAAGTCAAAGGCAGCCTGAAAACAAGGAATAAGACTAAAAGATAAGGAAGATCATTATATGTACTTTGCACTGATCCATATTGATAATTGTAATATCATTACTATTTTGTTTATACAATTCAAGGTAAAATTTGTAACTTGAATTTCATTTCATAATCTAATTTTGAGGTGTATATTACAACTTTATAGCTGCAAGTTTTCCCAACTCAATGTTGTTATGTTTCCTGCATGCACTAAGTGATGGAGCCCATACTTGAGCTTGTACTTGGACAGGCATCTCTTGGATTGTTTTCAAAGTTAAATCAAACTGACCAGCTATGCCAAGAAGATCTACCAAGCATACATAATGCTGTAGGCTGGGTTCTATTCCATAGTCATTCTGCATACTTCGAAAATACCTTAATCCATCTTCTACCAATCCGGAATGGCTGCACGCTGATAATAAAGCAACCTGATTTTAAGTGTTCTGTATGCTATTAAAGGTTTGTATATGCTGTAGAGACAAAGGGGATGGTGTGGCGGCTAGGGTAGAAATTAATGAAGCAGCCGAGGAAACCCAATAAAGTGCAAGTGAAACTTCAGCAGATGTTTACTAGGGCAGGATAAAAATAATAAGAGGGGTATTATGAAGATGAAAGTGGCAAGTGTGCAGAAGTAGCATCTGCTGCTCAGTTTGATGTAGGTTCTGTTCTTAGTGGTTAGTGTTTATACTAATGGTAGTCCCTTGTGCTGTTTTGTCAACTGTCACAAACTTTTGAGGTATTCTACTTCAACTTCTAAAGTTTTTAGACAAATTCATTTTTATAGGTGTCCCTACTTCACCTTCTGCTGCAGCAACAACTTCCAGCACCAGTACTCCTACTGCTCACACATCTTCCTCTCTTGTTATAGCTTCCAGTAGTAGGTATGTGTATGATCCTGCAAATCCAATGCCATTTTTTGACATTTTTTTGCTATTTAAGCTATCTTTTGTTGACCTTCTTCAGCCAACATTATGGTTTGCTCTCTTATAGGACAAGTGTAACAGGCAGTACGACAATGTCTGCTACACCAAAATTACCATCTAAGATCACCCTCTCAAATGAGTTTCATAAACACTATTAAGTCTGGTTTCAGACTAGTTCTTCTCATTTGGTTGAACACACCAAATGCTTCACCAACTTTCCCAACATTCACAAACCCACCAATACTTATTGCCCCTGAAATAATGGAACTTTCTCCCATTCCATTAAAGACCAAACGCGTTTCATCAAGTCGACCAAATTTAACATACATTTTCATAACTGAGTTAGCTAAAGGTATCTCATTACTCAACAATCCAAGTTTAAAAATGCAACAATGTATTGATAAGCCTAACATGCCAATAACACCTCTAAGTGAACAAAGAAAGGACGCATATAATAATGGCACCAATTCACAAGTTATCAAACAAAAATCAGGTATTTCAAATCAATGCAATGTCAATACATGAAAATACATCAGCTTCTCAAAATTTTAGATCAGATTCAATGTTACCATGTGAGAGAACTAAAGAATCAAAATTTGTATTACGGGAGGTTAGGGACTGCCTCGTATTGGATGAATGAAGGAAGCCAAGAAGATCAATTGAAAGATGAAGATGAAGTCAGGTTCTGCATTTCAAAAATTCGGGCAACAGCGATTAAGATGAAGACGCGTCAGAAGAGATGAAGATGCGTGGAGAAAAGATATGAAATTTGGGTTATACGTTTGGGAAATTTGGGGAAAAAGCTAGGGCACCCAATGAAGATGCGTGGAGAAGTGATATGAAATTGACAAAAATGCTTGCTTTATATAGGTTAGGGTTTTGTGTAAATAACTTAAAAAAGTAAGGGTTCTAATTAGTTATTTAATTTTGAAATATAATTCTATTTTGCAAATAAGTCAATTTGTAACTAAAAATTTAGTCAGTAAAGAATTAGTGTTAGTTGCCTATAATTTAGGTCTGGCGGGAACAAATAATTTGGGGGGAATATGAATTTTTTAACTTAAATTGGCAACTAAATCAAATTTAGTTGCTGTATATAATTTTTTGCAACTATTGTTAATATGAACACAAACATTTGTTGCTAAAAATACTTTGGGGCCCTTGTAATTACTATCCAAATATGGGATATTTTGGTAATTTCATTTTTCTATAACTAATCTTAGTAGTTACTAATAAATCCCTAATTATTCGCAACTAATTTAGCTACTAAGGGGTAGTTGCAAAAAAAAGGTTTTTTGTAACCAAAAATATAGATGCAAATTATCAAATTTTGGAGGGAAAAAGCACTCGCTAAAAATTGCAACTAAATTTATTAGTCACTGAAGCAACCGGTTCTGTGGCTAACAAAATAGTCACAAAAAATTAACTTTAGATGCCAAAAGTTGGAACATGTGGGCCTTAAAATTTTAATCCTCTTTGCTCGACTAATGTCAATTTTGTTGGTAAATATAGCATTTCTACAACTAATTCTGGTTAGTTGCTAAAAAATTGGTTGCAGAATGCTAGTTTTCTTGTAGTGCACATAGATACATCTTTAAATGTCATATAAGAATCACCACAAGAAATTAAATTTTTGGCGATGCAATCATGTCGTCGCAATAGCTGAAATTCGATTACAAATAAACTCTACAAAGCTCATGGAAATTATGATGTGTTAACCTATCATAAGGGTATTGGCAACACAAAATGCAGCTCACCCAAAATCACGTTTTGCAAAGGTTTTGTTTTGTTCATAGTTTTAATAGGATTCGCCAAAAGTATCACCTATACTTTTGTGTTAAATTTTTTTTCACTTTAAGGGTCGTTTGGATGGGGTTAATATTAGATAACTAGGGTAATATTTTTTAAATTGAGTAGATGACGATGTTTGGTTGGTTTGTAAAAAATTATTCCTGGAATATTGTATGACAAACAGTAGCATAGAGGAATGGTTGGGAATCTTAATACCTTTTTTGTTGGGGGGGCGGGGTGGTGTTGTTGTGTTATTAAAACTTACCCTGGTAATACAATTTTGTTTCCCTTGTTGCCCCTAAACAGTTGATTATTTGGTCCAAATTAACCTTATATTTGTTAACATTTACAAAACACCCAATTCACTCATGCAGACACTTTTGTCCTCGCTTTTTAAATTTTTTGGATAACATTGCCCTTTTTATTGTCATTATTTATAGAAATGCCATTATATCCAAAACTAGCCACCATCGCCAGCCGTCCTCGACTGCCATTGGAAGTTGCCAAAAGGTTCCATAATGGCATATGACCGGCCGTATATGGTCGGCCGTGCACTGATGAGGCTTTTTTCGATCATGGATCTGTGATCCATGGTCGGAAAAGGCCAAATCTGGCTATTTCATGGCCAGATCTATGGCCGTTTCACGGCCAAAGATGTAGCTGTGAAACGACGACTGATCTGGCTATGAAACAGCTAGGTCTTTGGCCATGAAATGGCTGGTGTTTCACGGCCAAAGACCTGGCCATTTCCCGTCCAAACCTGTGGCACTGCTAGCAGCCAACAGCGGTGGTGGCTAGCTGCCGGCAGTGGCTTGGGGTGGGTAGGGGTTTTTTTGTTAACTTTAAAACGTTTTTGGTTACTAGGGTGTTTTTGCTAAATCTGAAAAGTAGGGGGTTAAAAAAA